TGGGTCATCTATCTTGAGCATGTTTCTTCAAGTGGGAATGCTGGTGAAAGAGTGGGCTGGAGTTACTTCCTTGGAAGTTTTTAGCCTAATTTTGCTGATGCTTGTTTTTTGGGTGTCTGTGCTGCCTTTGGGCACAACAGGTACAATCTCAAGCTGTTGTGCGAGGATTGGTGCTTTTACATGGTCGAGAGGATCCTTCTGCCCAAGTGTGGCTGACCATGCTACAAAAAGCGTAATCATTCATGTAGGCCCGAGCTGCGGCCAGGACTGCAAGGGAGTTTTCCCTGAGAGACATGCCTGGCTGCATAGGGGTTGGTGTTGATACAGTTCCCCTCCTCAGGAAAAAGACACCGGGATGGGTATGACCATACCACCTCACTGTACAATGGCAGGGGGCTGGGGGGTCATTACAATATCCCCAATATTCACTGAGGGTCTGGTCTCTGTCTCCACTTGGCCTCTAATAAAAAGAAAAAGGGTGAATTGTGAGTCACCGTCCTCTGCACCTGTGCTGTTGTGCCCGTTCCCCCATCTCTATGCATTTCCCCAAGAACATTGCTCAAGGAGAAATCCAAGCTTGGTTGGTAGCCTGCCGAGTGTATCTCCTTGTTCCTGTTTTGATCCTTGTTCCTGTTTTTATTCCTGTTCTTATGTTCCTGTTTTGTGGGGAGCATAAAAGAGAGCTATGCAGTTGAAAATATAGCATTTGTTCTTTACCAGATGACTCCTTGTGTTTCTTTCTCTTGCCCTCAGCCCTCCGCCGATCCAAGGAACTCAGTTAGCTATGCTGGCGTAGCCGACAATAAAGTTGATATGTAGATTTTTAGATAATTCCTGACTTGAATGCACTACTATGTCCAGGGAAATATATATGCTTTCTAAGCAAGATGTATAGTCACCCTACTAATACAGAATGAGCTAACTCAGCTATGACACTGCTGTTAAACTCTGTCATGCGAATTCATAACTTACACTGCCATTTCCCAGTGCTTTATATCCGTTGGGTCAGATTCCTGATGAACTTATCATAAGTAATCTCAGCCCTCGTTTGTTTGCCAGGGAGTCTATTTCTATATTTATAAAATCACATTCTTCTTTGCTGTCTTAGGAGTGTTTCTCTATGAAGAAAGAATAGACAGCATATCTTTTGCTGAGCTGTCTCCTACTGCTATTCACTGACAGATGAAACTCAGCATTTTATGATTTCTCACTTATTCACATTCTTAATTTTTTTTACCCTTAGGAAACAATAGCAACAAAATATTGAAAGCTGGAAAGTCAATAAATCAAGTAGCAATTGCCTTAGCAGATTTGAGAAATAGGAATCCTAAGCCGGCCGTGAGACAACCTGATTTACACACACAAACCTCAAATACAGCTCTGGAATGGGAATGAGAATTTTTGGAAGAAAGCATGAGATGAGCTTAAACTAAAAGAAATGATGGAAAGTCTACCTACGAATCTGACACTTAGGGTTAGAGAGGGGACTCAGCAGTTAAAAGCACTGGCTGGACTTGCAGAAAAACTGATTGAATTCCCAGCACCCACATGGCTCACAACCGTGTTTTTGTTGTTTGTTTTGTATTCTTTTTCATTAATTTTTATTTATTCACTTTACATTCCAGGCACAGCCCCCCTCCCTCCTTACCTCCCAGTCTCTCCTTCAAAAGTCCCTCCCCCCACTACTCCCTCCCCTTCTTCTAGAAGAGGGAAAAGCCCTGCTTCGGTACCAGCAGGCTCTGGGATATCAAGTTACAGCAAGACTAAGTGCGTCCTCTCCCACTGAGGCTCTACCAGGCAGCCCAGCTAGAGAAGGGGATCCAAAGGCAGGGAACAGAGTCACAGACAGCCTCCACTCCAATTGTTAGGGGACCCACATGAAAACCAGGCTGCACATCTGCTACAAATGTGTAACGGTCCTAGGTCCAGCCCCTGTGTGCTCTTTGGTAAATGGTTAGTTGACTCAGTAGGTCTTGTGGTGTCCTTTACCCCTCTGGCTCTGTCCGCTGTTTCTTTTTGTTTTTGTTTTTTCCAAGACAGGGTTTCTCTGTGTAGCCCTGGCTGTCCTGGAACGCACTCTGTAGACCAGGCTGGCCTTGAACTCAGAAATCTGCCTGCCTCTGCCTCCCAAGTGCTGGGATTAAAGGTGTAGACCACCACTGCCTGGCTCTGTCTGCTATTTCTAATGCAGCCACCAGAAATACTAATTGTCCAGGCCAGACACGGCAGCATATGCCTTTAATCCCAGTATTTAAGAGAGAGAGGCAGATGGATCTCTGTGAGTCTGAGGCCAATCTGATTGATCTACATAGCAACTTCCAGGACAGCCAGGGCTACATAGTGAGACCCTGTATCAAAGCCCAGCATCTTTATGATGCTTTCCTTTCACCTTCTAGAGCAGTGGTTCTCAGCCTCCCTAATTCTGCGACCCTTTAATACGGTTCCTCATGTTGTCATGACCCCAGTCATAAAATTATTTCATTGCTACTTCATAACTGTAATTTTGCTACTGTTATGAATCATAATGTAAATGTCTGTGTTTTCCCACGGTCTTGGGTAACCCCTGTGAAAGGGCTGCTGACACCCCTCCCAAAGGGGTCACGACCCACAGGTTGAAAATCACTGCTCTAGGTGAAAGCCACTACAGTGATTAACGTGTGTATGTAGAGTCAAGCAGGATTCTGACACAAAGTAAAGAAGACAGACACAATGAAGACAGCAAAACCTGGCTTTCATACTTTGATTTACCTGTGGGCCCAAGTAAATAAGGACTCAACTATCAGTGCTTTTTTATTGTTTTTTTTTTTTTTTTTAACTTTATTTATTTATTTATTTATTTATTATAAGTACACTGTAGCTGTCTTCAGACACCCCACAAGAGGGCATCAGATCTCATTGCAGATGGTTGTGAGCCACCATGTGGTTGCTGGGATTTGAACTCATGACCTCTGGAAGAGCAGTCAGTGCTCTTAACCACTGAGCCATCTCACCAGCCCCCTATCAGTGCTTTTTAATGGAAGTGGTTTCTAAGTTCTTGTTCCAGAGATATTTATAATCATTCATGCTTACTGGTAATATGTGACTGTGGCAGTTTGAATAAGTATTGCTCCAGGAAGTGGATAGATTTGAATGCTTGGTCATTAGGGAGTGGCACTCCTTGACAGGGATTAGGAAGTGTGCTCTTGTTGGAATAAATGTGGTTTTGTTGGAGGAACTGTGTCACTCAGGGTGGGCTTTGGGGTTTCAGATGCTCAAGCCAGGTCCAGTGTCTCTCTCTTCCTGCTGCCTGCTGATTCAGATGTAGAACTCTCAGCTCCTCTCCAGCACCATGTCCGCCTGATGCCACCATGCTGATAATGGACTAAACCTCTGAACTGTAAGCCAGCCCCGATAAAAATGTTTTATAAAAGTTGCTGTGGTCATGGTGTCTCATCACAGCAATAGAACATTGAATAAGAAAGTGACTCACACTGACCACAGAAATCACGTTTCCTAAGCTTTCACAAATGCTAGGGATAGTCAACGGGACTTTTCCACATTACTAAAGAAGAGTGAAAGCATACGTTCCTGGCCCAAAAGCAATCAAAATAATTAGCCAAATTAAAGCATTATGACTAAATACAAAGAAAATTAACAGATTATTCATTAAAGCTAAAGAATGGCGTGTCTACTGTAGCTCTATGATCATATTTCCTTATGCTGTCAATAGACAAGGGCATTAACTAGCTTACGAAACAAAGCAAGGAAGTCCGACACAGTAAGCAAATATACAGATAAAAACATCAATATCAGATAAAAACTGAAGGGGCTGGAGAGACGGCTCTGAGTAAAAGCACTTGTTCTTGTTAAGGACCCAGATTTAATTCCCAGCACCTGCAGGGCAACTTGCAACAGTTTGTAACTCCAGTCCCAGGGGATCTGAAATACGAATTCAGCCAAAACCACTCATGCACATAAGATAATAAATCTTTTTAAAACATCAAATGAATACAAACAAACAAACAAAAAACCATATCTGGGCTGTCTTAAGGACCCTGTGATAATCTCACCACCATGCCCTGCCAGAGACACGGATTAAGATACTTCCATTCTGGGCAGGCCATTTCCAAGTCAACCAAGTTGTGTAGGAGTAGACACTCAAGCAGTGAGTCCAACATCAACCCTACACTACAGACCAGGTACTAAGAGAGTTTCCCCCTGGGATGTTCCTCCTCCTGTTTGTTTTCTTGTTCCTGAACATCTTTTCTTATTTTTGTGTCTATAAAATACTTGGCAATTTATCTCCCCACAGTTAAACTATTAACAAAGGACTCATAACCGTTAAATTTAAAAGACATACAGGAAGATAAGTAGAGAAAATAAATACAAAATTCTACATTTTTGGAATAAGTCTAGCGACACCAGACTTATTTTAAAAAATATGCCAAGCAGAGACTGAGAAAGAGATGAATATATTGGCGGAATGGCAGTGTAAGGGTGGTTTCCCGTCTGAATCCTTATGTCTGGATTCGCCATTTAGGCTACAACCAAAGGAAATGAAACTGAGTAACCCTTACCAATTTTGTAAATGGTATCAGACAGATATTTCATCATGCTCCTTCAGACATCCTGCAAAGTAAGGCACATACATCCTAGTCACCCTTTCAGCGCCGGTTTCTGAGAGACTCCTTCTCAATGTTCCCTACTCATCCCTTTACAACCCACGAGCTCCTCCACTGGAACTGAATGTCACAACCACTGGCGATTCTCCGGGATTAAAGAAAGGCCGGAGCGATCGACCTGCTCAGTGTCTCCACTGCCTGAACTTGTTCTCCTCCGCCAGGGTACAAGACCCGGAGCGCCGAGAGGCTCGATCTCCGTCGCATGAGCCCGCCCCCACCCGCCCTCTCCAGGCCTCGGAGTACCGAGCGGTTCGATCTCCCCGGCCTGAGCCCGCCCCCTCTGCCCAGCGGCAGGCTGCGGAGCGCCGAGTCGCTCGATGAGCGGGGGCGCTGCAGCAGAGCGGAGCGGTGGCGGGTCTGCGCCCTCGGCCTTCCCCCTCCCACCCTTCTTCCTCAGCTTCCCGCTCCCTCCCCCGCCCGTCCTGCGCTGCCAGCAGGGACTGCTGCCCGGAGCTCTTCGGAGACCTCAGGTATCCCGCACCGGCGCGCGTCGGGAGGAAGGGAGCCAGGCGACGCCCCTGCCTACTGCCCTCAACGTCCGCTGGGGCTGGGAGCTGGCCTGCGCGAGGGCCAGGTCGCGAGTGGGGAAGGCTGGGGCCCGGGCTACCCTGAGGAAGGGGCGCGAGGACTGGGAAGCGGCTGGGGCGGCCGAGGAGCTTTGGGATCGAGTTGCCCTCCAGGGGAAGAGCTGTTCCCGAGGGGGCACCTGTACGGGGAGTGGGGGGCCAGAGTTCCGAGCAGATGTCGGGGTGCGGGGCCTGCGACGGCGGCGGGAAGGGAGTCGAGGAACTGGCCGAGGGGGCTCTTCTGAGGTCCTTCCTCAGGGGTTCAGAGAAAGCGCGCAACCCCACTGTGCTTAGAATGACCCGAGGGTGGAGGTGAATCCTTACACGTAACAGGTTTTGCGAGTAAGATTTCCAGTCACGATTTGCGTGGAACTGTCACCAGCCAAGATTGCAGATGAGAAATGAGGAAGAGCCGGCAAGGGAATGGAGGCTGAGAAAAGGAAAGCCGTGCTCAGCCAGATTCGAGCATTTTAGTAAAGTGAAATACACAGCTTGTTTTGTCAAGTAAAAAAGCCAATAGATTAAACAGGTTAGAAGTGAATTACGTGTAAAGCCACTGAATAGAGAACGTACTACAGAAGATGCGTACGTGAGATTTAAGCGAGCGAGGAAGTACACGTAAGAGTCTTGCGATGTTGACACTTCAGTGAACCGCGTAGTCTTCCATCCACGACATGGAAAGACCTCATGATGACTCTTACTACGTAGACACGTTAACTGACAATATTTTGGGTAGAAGGAACTGTAGGCAGAATGTAGTCAACTCTAACTTCTGAGCACAGTTTATTTCCGATTCTTATTTTTAATCTGTAAATATCATTAGTTGCGGGTAGTATAATCAAGGATAGCTCGTCTATCTGTCTGCTGTTTTGCTGGTGGCCTGTTCATTTGTCTGGCCTGACTTTGCTTCCTTTCTCAAACTGATAGGTTGCATTTTAGAACTTGAATAAGAGGTTTATTCCTCATTAAGGTTTAGTGTCATACCTTGTAAAGACATTTTGTGAATTTGCTTGATCTCTCTCTTCTGTCGGCTAAGATCAGTTGGAGTACCTGTTCTTCTCAGCCAGTTATTTCTTTTGGGCTGTCAAGGATATAAATATATAGTCTAGATACAGTTAAAAGTCTTATTTTTCTCCAATTCTTGCTTTATCAACTTTTTCCCGGTGCATTCTGTAGCATTTCTTCATGAAATTTATTCTGAGATTAAGATGTAAGGAATAAAATGGGTCAGATTCTCACGGAAGTAATGTGGAATAAAGAACCCCAGAGCTGTCACTCAGGCATGGATGGATACTAGTTATGTTATAAGTGAAGTTGTTGGTTTGAGCACAAATAACAGGGAGCTGATTTCAGTGATAGTACTTTGATTTGGGTTTCTCTTAGTGCCTAACAGTAAACTAGTATCTAAATTATTTAAAGATTTTTTTTATAGAAGATGGTAGGTTGTTATAAAGTATGTCTAAGAGTTCTAAAACATGATGATAACTAAATGAATAAATATTAAAACTGATAGTGCATAGCCACTTATTGATCTGTTTGAGTGGTATGGCAGAACACCGTTATCTTACTAACTTTCCTTTAAAGAAGTGTTAAGAATAAAAGAAAATGCATATGTAACACTGGAAGCTAAAAGATGCTTCTGTTCCTGAAGGTGCATGTGTGTGTTTAGCACATACTAAGCATCTGAGGCTTTTATCTCATCGTCTGCTCCAAAATACTGGAAATGTGAATTTGCATAACAGCTACTTCCCTAGAACAATTTGGTTGTGTTGCATACTCAAGTATTTCCTGGAAAAATCACAGTGCATATTAACATACAAAAGGCTGTGAGGTGCTTCCACTGCAGAGGAACACAGCTTTATTTAACCTCTTTGTTTTTATCTATGAAAAATCACATTTTCTCTCAGGAAATGTAAACCCAGAAAGCAAGGAGGATGTTTTCCTTTAGAAAGCAAGAGATTCTCTAATAGACATCAGCTGCAAGTCCTCTTAGTTTGTTTCTACCGCTCTCTACTAGGAAATAGCCGCAGCTGTCCCTTCTTCAGGTGGCCACTGAATAGAAAACATTCTACAGAAGCTTCATACATGAGATTTAAGTGAGCAGTGAAGTACACGTAGAGTGTACTTCCAAGTTATAGTACCTGATTGGCTATAAATTGTGATGGCCACAGTCTCTTTGTTGGTTTCAATTTATTTATTAGACTGGTTCACAGAATTCAGGGAGACACTTTGCTTAAGTTTGCCAGTTTATTTTAAAGACTGTTATAAAGGGTGCAGATTAATTATCAGATGGGATAGATGGTAAAGTATAGGAGGAACCCAGAGCTCTCCTGGCCCCTCCAGGCATCCATCCTCTAGGAAAGTCATATGCTTATACCTCAAAGCTGCCTGGGGTTTGGACCTCTTGGATTTTTGTATCTGGGATCCCAACCACTTGGCTTTTCATGGAAGCTTCATTTGTGGGACTAGTAGATTACAACAGCAGCTGTCAGGAATCACTTCAACCTTTAGCCCTCTGCACTCTCCAGAGGTTGGAGTGGTGTGGACTGAAATAGTTCAGCCTTTTAATCCTGACTTGTTTTTTTTATTCAGTGATAGCCTCCATTCCGAAGCTGCTTATAGACTGCCAAAGACCTATCAATCTCATTAGCATAAAAACTCACAAATTTTCTCTCATGGGTATGGGGCTTTAGGATCTACCTGTCAGGAAAAAAGAGGAATGCCAGAGAGAGAGAGAAAACATGTACATATACACTCATTTGAATATGTATGTACATATATTTAGTGATATATATATATATATATATATATATATATATATATATATAATTGTTATTACCAGATTGTCACATTAGTACTTATAAACTAGCCATTCTCATGGAGCACCAGTGGACTATAGTTTATAGTTTTTTGTATTTGTTATCTCATGTGACCACCTGACTTCATGCAGAATCCTGGAAATCACTATTTTATAGATGAGGAACTGCGTCATTGCTTAAGCAACCAATTAAAAGTGCAGTGACTAGACGTATGCCACTGTTTTCTGACTCCAAGAGAAAAATCATAAAGCTTTTTCAAGATTTAGAACTAGTCCCATTTTCTCCCTCTTTGACAATATCTGCTCTTTCATGTTATAAAATCTCAAATTTACCATATTCTCTACATGTTTCCTTAGGAGAATAACATTCATTTTTATTCTGGTTTTAACTGCTTCTTCAATCTAAGACCTAGCATATAGACTGTAGTCAGTGGAATGGAGCAAGAATAGTTAAAGTTAGAAGTGAGGAGACCCTATCATTCAGGGCATTGTACAATGTTAGGCACATTAGCTTATACCCCAAAGTTCCTCATATGATGAAATTTGTTTTTTTTTTTTTTTTTCCCCTTAAGGTGGTGAATACTTACTCTGTTGGGAAATACAAGAGTACTTGTGAGCAGAAAGTATGCCTCCCAAGTTCAAGCGCCACCTAAATGACGATGACGTCACTGGGTCTGTGAAAAGTGAGAGGGTAAGTTTAGAATCTTAAACTTTAAAGAAATTGAATGTAAGTTGCGTTCCCTGCAAATAATGGAAGAATATCTGAAATGTATGGAAGCAGAAAAGGAGGTGATCCTTTTCCTGTTCACCTTCATGGTCTTGTTCATGGTCACGCCTGATGCCCATAATAAAAGAAAGGAAACAGAGGAAAGCTAGAACATATGTATTTGATCATGGCTTTATTTTATATGACATGTGGTCCTTTAGATTGAATACCCCCAAAGCAGGATGAACTGGCCCGTTTTCATGCTCAGGTTTAATGAAGCATGGACGACTGTGTAGAAACATGATTGGACAAAAGGGTGATCTTAATAGCATAGAGAAAGGAGAAGGAAGAGAAACTGTTTCCCCATTTCTCCTTGGCCTCTGTGTTTCTTCATGCTGGATATGGGACAGACACCTTCTGGAGTGGGGGTCTTAAGCCCTATCATCAAACAGTGTAGGTCAGAGAATGTTTTTATGATCAGTTCCTAGGTAGAAAGATAGATCAGAGCAATATTTTCAGGTTTTATGGCCATTTAAGTTAGCTGTATACAGTTCAGAGGAGTTTGGTATTTCAGAGTTGGGCAGCTGCTAGCACAGTCAGTTTTAAGACATATCAATATCTCTGAAGGAGACCTTGTCCTCTCTGCCACTCATCCATGTTCCATTCATTCCTTTAGCCACAGACAATGAAAACTCTAGTTTGACTTATTCTAAACATTGCAAGTAAAATCATAGGATGTGTATCCTATTGTGGTTGGTTTCTTTGATTCATGTTTTTAAAATTTATAAATATTGTATTAGTACTTTATAGTCCTTTTTTAAAAAAATATTTTATGTATGTAGGCATCTCACCTGCATGGGTGTCTGTGCACCATGTGTGTGCAGTACCCAAGAAAGCCATAGAGGGCTTTAGGTCCCCTGAAACTGGAGTGACAAGTGATCATGAGCCATCATGTAGGTGCTGGGAATTAAGCCTGGCTTTTCTGGAAGAGCAGCCAGTGTTCTAACCTCTGTGCCATCTAATTAGTCCCTCTGTCATTTTCATTGCTTCTAGATAGATGGTACATTTTATAATTGTCTCACAAAAGGTCTTACTTGGTTATGTCTTTCAGTAGTTTAGACTACTAATATTCTTTATGTGTAACCTTACCAGTATATCTTTTCTCCACACTCCACCTTATTCTTTATTTGGCATGTATTTTAGGTGAATTTCTTGAAAAAAAAAAAAAACTATTGGCTAGACTTTGTGGCATTCCAGTCTTATAAGATTTTGGTGTTAGTAAGGTCATGTATTTAAGTAAGCGCACTGGACTTCCTCTGTGCTGGCCATTCTCTGTGGGCAGCGAATACCCTGTTTGATTTTTGGCTGACTCTTTACTATCATGTGAACTTCAGTTTAAGTTTTATCTCTTCAGAATGATTTTCCACAACAATCTAAATCCCAAGTAGTCATCTGTCACTTTCTGCCCCGTCGCTGTGTGAATGCTCTCCATGGCATTTTTCTCAGGATCACCCGTTACTTTGAGAGTTGAGACATATCCCAGCTCACATATTAAATGCTCAGTATTAACAAGTATTTGTTAATGAACATTTCATAGAGCCTTCCTTTTTTACTCTTTAGTATGTGTTGTATATTAATTATTTTACATAGGCATACAACTATCATACATATATGCATTTCTTTTATTCCCTCATGCTTGTGCCAAATTGGTATTTTGCCTTTCATCTTTTACCTATCCTTGGAGTCACTAGGCACCTTAGTGAATTTATTCTTTTTCTTCTTCTTCTCTCTGTTTTTAAATATTAACTGAATATTTTAGCAGTGATATTTAAATAAACTGACTGACCTTCACTAGTGTACTTTTTTTTCCCCTTCCTGCCCTGACCGCTCCCCAGGATGAGCATGTCAGTACACGCCTGCTTCCTCACATCACATCCTGCACTCAGCCTCAGAACTTTAATAGGACAGTCTTAAGCTCTCTTGGAGCTTTTATGTTATACTTTTTATTAACTTATTGTTCGTAATGACATTATCACCACTTATTTTAATGTGTGTGTGTATATGTATGGTGCATGTATGTGTGTAAGTGTGCTCACCTGTATGTGTCTAAGTATGAAGACTACAAGTAAACATTGAGTCTCTTCCTCTGTTGCCTTCCATCTCATTTTTGAAACAAGGTCTCTCGCTGACCCTGGCACTTGCTGACTGAGTAGGCTTGCTGGCCAGAGAGCACCAAGGGTCCCCTGTTTCCATACCTCGGCACTGCATACAGATAGATGCATGATGCCACACCTGGCTTTTTAACATGGATGCTGACAATCCAAATTCAGGTCCTCATGCTTATGAAGCAAGTACTTTACCTACTGAGCCACCTCCCCAGCCTTCCAACATTCAAATCTGGCTATACATTTGATTAGATCCTTTGATTAGATCCACCTGTGTCTTAAGGCTTATTCTTTGTGGCTGACCTAATTCCTGGAGGAGCAATGTCCTCAGAAAAGATACATATGTGATTTCATTTCCCATTTCTGTAGAAACAAATTACCACAAAGTTAGAGCATGATAAAGCTTCTATTTTATATTCTTCTGTGGGGAAATTGCTCTTTGAAACAAGCTGCTAGAGAGGGTACTTGCCTTTCTTGGTTCATATCCTTTCTCTATCTGTAATTTCAGCCTCATAGTGTCTCTTTCTTGCCTCCTGCCTCTCTTGGAAAAACCATTTTCCTTAGTTGTGGCTTAAACGCGTAATCAGTAAGAACCTTCAGACTCCTCAGTTACCCCTGCCAAGTCTCTTTCACCTCACAAGTTAACAGTCACAGGTTTTGGTATTGGGACTTGGATATCTTTGGGGCACCATTACTCTGCCTACAAAATATATATTATCTGTGTGTGAAGGTCTAGATTTTGCTTAATTTTAACCTGCTATTAGGACCTCATGCTCTTTTAGGGAGAATGTAGCACCATCTTCATTTCAAGGAAGACTTTCTGTTTGTTAACATGAAACTGTAAAGTTACCTTTTGGAAATTAGTATGACTATTTCAGGATAAGTATCTAGAAAAGCATTTATCTGTGCTCTAAGGTGAGGCCTGTACTCCTTCTAGGGTAGCCCCTTGGACTCCACAATTCAGAGCTGACAACAGAGAAGGTGGTGATGTGGGGAATGATAGGATTCTAGGATTGAAAGCATTTTCTGTGGAAGATCAACAAACAGTGTTTCATTTCTTCTAGCTGCCACGGAGGCATCTGTAATTTACTGTTCCCTTTTTCTGGAGGCTTGTTTTTTAAAAATGTCAGCAGCCTAGAACTTGTCTCTGTGATTTTGCAATTCCTCTGTGTCTGAAAACTCAAGATCTTCTTATTTCTTGACAGAGAAATCTTTTGGAAGATGATTCAGATGAAGAAGAAGACTTTTTTCTGTAAGTTAATTTTTTTATCCAGTTGTAATTAACATACAAGGAAGTGCATCTAGTTAAAGTGTTCATTTAAGTTTGGCATGTGCCAAAATAAATCTTTATAGTATCATCAAAATAAAGAAGGAGCATACAGTTGCCCTAGAGCTTTCCTGCAGCTCTTTGTAAGCTGTTGCTCTCCTGGGCTACACTCCTGTCACTGCAGATTTTGTTTCCTAGAGTTTGATAGAAAAGAAACTATATGTTGTGCCCCTCCCCCCCCACACATCTTTTTATATGTTTAAAACTGGCTTCATTTATATAGCCTGCTTATTTTGAGATCCGTCTGTGGATCAGTAGGTCAGGTATCCACTCACTTGTGTGTGACTGTTTTAAGTGGTTTCTAGGTTTTTGCTCATACATATAAAACTTTTATAAATGCTTGTGTGGAGGGGTTTATGAGAACACGAGGCATAGTCTCTATTGGCCAAACCCCTAGACGTGAGGGCTGCTGCACACTCATCTGTGTTCCAAGGGGACCACACGACAACTAGAGCTTTGATTTAATTGAAATCAATTTTTTTACATATCTTCCCTACTTCCCGTCTTTCCAACAGGGTCTCACTCTGTAACCCAGGCTGGCCTCAAACTCAATTATTACCTTGCCTCTGTTTCCCAAATATTAGGATTATAGATGTGTGTCACTATCTGTCAGCCTGTCTGTCATTCTTTCTTCTTTTTCTTATTCTTTCCCTCCCTTTCTGTTTCCTTCCCCCTCCCCCAGCTCTCTTTCCTTTATGTCCTCATTACTTCTTTTATCATAAATATTATAGTGAAGAAATAATGTCACTATAGTAGATTTAATTTGTGTTTTCTTGTAGGAGCACTATAGTTTGGACTTTTGAGTTTTAACCCTTTAGACATTTTAAATTAAGCTTTGTACATTGCTGAAGTAAGGATAAAGGATTATTTTCTGGAATATGACCATCTGATCATTCCAGAACCATTTAATTAAAAAATTATTCTTTCCTCCTGAGTTACCTTGGTATCTTGCTGTAGTTGTCAGGAAGACTGCTCACTTAGGGCTAGGTATGTGTTTAGGAAGGACAGCTTTGCTGTAGGAGTCTTCTGACAAGGGTGGTGTAAAGACACATGGGCAAGATGGTCAACTTGTCTTCTGTCTGTCTATCACTCTTTTTCTTTCTCACTTTTCCCTCCCTTTCTTTCTCTCTCTCCTCCCTTGGTGAACTTCTAAGGCTCTGAGGAAAACACTGTACTAGGGGACCTTAAGAGTCATATACATACATCCAGTACTTGGACTCTCTGCCTCCTGGTTCAAATCTCCTGGATAAGGAGCATAGCAAGCCCATACAGGGTGTCTCTTAAGGTCCCCGGGTACAGTGTTTTCCTCTAGTTCATAGAGGGAACAGAGGGAGAAGGAAAGAGTAAGAAAAAGACAGAGTGATAGACAGACAGACAGAAGACAAGTTGACCATCTTCAGCCCTACTGAAAGAACTTAATTTGGAATTCATCCAGTTGTTCACTTAGTTTCACTGATACTTTAAAAGTATCCTCCTGGTCCCTAGACAGGTCTTCACTGAATATTACTCATGACCTGCAGTGAACAGACACCAGCCATGGGTCCAGACCGTAGTCTGTTATGAATATTCCATACATCCAGAACTACAGAGCAAGTTACAGGACAGACAAGGCTACACAGAAACCCTATCTCAAACAAACAAGCAGATTAGGATTATGTAATCTGGGGCTGGAGATTTGGCTCAGTGGTTAAGAACACCATCTTCTCTTCCAGAGGTCCTCAGTTCAATTCCCAGCAACCACATGGTGGCTCACAACCATCTGTAATGGGATCCGATGCCCTCTTCTGGTGTGTCTGATGACAGCAACAATGTACTCACCTATATAAAATAAATAAGTAATTTTTTTTTAAAAAAACCCACAATTAAAAAAAAAGGATTATGTAATCCATACCTTCTCAGGAAGTTTTAACACTTGGAAGAATTAGATTATGGCCAATGATATATACCATGAAGTCCATACATAATTATGTAGCATTCAGTTCTACTAACACCTGTAAAATAAAGCTTTGTGTGATTAATGATGATCCATATTTAGAATCCAGCTTGATTGCGCACATGGATGTAATTCTTATGCTCATATTTGTGAAATATTGTCATTACAAATGTGTACTGCATGTTTTATTTTCAGACGGGGACCATCTGGACCAAGATTTGGACCTAGAAATGATAAAATTAAGCAGTAAGTTTCTAGATACTCATTTGTTTAAATGATTGTCATAATTCTATGTGGACCACCGCTATCAGACTATAGTCTGTGAACAGATTGCCTATTGATTTTATAAACAAAGTTTTTATTAGAACCGAGGCTATATCCATTTGTGTTTATCCATTGCTGTTTTTTAACTACAATAGCAGAGATCATATAACCCAAAATGCCTTTAGATTCTTATTATATAAAAAAGAGTGGCCAAAGGTGCTAGTATCCTGCACCATTGTCTCACACTGCAGCTATAATACCAAAAGGAGCCAGAAACTTCAATTCCAGTTGTAGAATACTGTGTTGTAAGGGGATTGTTGCTAGACTTCAGCTAAGTGGATTTTATAGTCTACATACATAGAAGCAGCGTACTTCATCACTACCTGGAAGTTTTAAAAAACTGTCTGATGATGGTCTTATAAAGTACACGTGGAGTGGAGTGAAGCTGGCTTCACAAGCCATTATCTCAGGGTTTTAGTGGATTCACAGGACGTTCTGCATATGTGTATATAAGTATGCCTGCAAGACTGTCTGTATGTAATTGCTGAGCCAGAGTAACTCTACCCATCCACATCATCTGTCCACTTCTCATGTCTAAAGTGTCACTGGAGTAGAGGAATCTAGAGACACATCTGGGTTTTTTGTTCAGCCAGTATACTTTGTTTCCATCTGAAATGCTTCTACAGAGTGAACCTAATATAGAATATGACCCAGTGTATCTTTTAGAGCCACACACAAATGACATGTATATGGAAACTATTACTGTAATTTTGACAATCACAGAATTATTGAATAAAAAGAAATTATTGAGTGATGTAGTGGTTCTTACTCTAGAGCTGAAGTCTGGCCAGATTTAGTTAGAAGTCAGTCATCAGATGAGCAGATTGAAGGTTGATGGCTGAGCCTCATGAACACTAATCTCACATGACAGGACTCAGCAGTGCGTACAGTGTGACATACTTGCCATGCCGCATGCTTAAGGAAAACTCTCTGACATCAGTACACCAAATCGGTCATTTTATTCAACTAAGATGCATTGTTATCACTTAATTTATAATAATTCAATGGAGTGTTTTCAGCTATATAGATCAGCAACATTGTTTGGATTTATATAATTGTTTGGACATACATAAAATACATAATTAAGAGCAACCAAAACCAAACAAACAACAAAAGAACCCTTTTTTTGTCGATAGTACCTTAAAAGACCACAAGATGGGGGTGTTAATAGAAAATTAGTGTTTTCTCTATAAAATAAAGAAGAATGTGTGTGTTGCAGAACATGGATTTTTTTTTTAATGGAAGAGCATTGACATTATCAAGTACATGGCTAAGTGTTGCACACCATGTAAGGTGTTTGAAAGACTATCCCATTTAATTCTCACAAGTGAGACAAATTATCATCCTCATTTTAAAGGTGAGAAAATACAGGGCTGATAGAGCCTTCCTTGCGAATAGCATACATACATAGTAAGTGACAGGTAAACTGCAAGGCAGCTCTTCTGGATGTAGAACCTGAGCCCTCTCTTCACCATCTTCCTCCCTGGGAATCATTAGAATAGAAACCTCGAAGAACACAGGTGATTCAGACTGCTTAAAATGTCAGACCCTCTTCCTCTTTGTGTGTCTGATGTCCTTTTCTAGTTCCTATGAGCCTAAGGCCATGAAGCTGTTTCACCTCTTTTGTGAGCTGTTTCAGTTCTTAATTTTCTTTCAGCTATAGCCTTATCTTTCTCCCACTCAGCTACATAGATTCTTGATCTACAGTCCTCTTCCCTTTGCTGTCCCTAGTTCTTTGAGCCACATCCAGTTCACCTAGTTCTTGAAATAACCCTTCCTCTTACATATATTCTCTAGATAAATCCAGTACTTCCTTTACTGTGCCCAACTCATTCTTTTCTAAAAATTTTAAATATATATTTTTTAAAATATATTTTATGTATATGAGTGTTTTGCCTGCATGAATGTACCATATACATACCTAGTGCCTGCAGAATTTAGAAGAGGGTGTTAGATCCCCTGGAACTTAAGTTAGGGACAGTTGTGAGCCACTAGGTTGGTGCTGGGAACCAAATGTGGGTCCTTTGCAAAAGTAACAAGTGCTCGTAACTGCTGAGCCATCTGATCAGCTGCTACCCACCCCCAATTCCTTCTTTATCTCTCAAAATTGCTTTGTATATTTAGCTTCTTTAATTCCACATGAATTTAGAATTTTTTTTCTATTTTTATGAAGAATGTCATTGGAATTTTGATGGGGATTGATTGTATTGGCTCTGTATATTGCCTTTGGTAATATGGCAAATAATCTCTAAATATAGGAAGTCTTTTTTTGTCTGGTGTTTTCTACAGCTCTTCTTCCATGCTTTAGAGTTTCATAGGGTCTTTCCCATCTCTAGTTTATGAATTCATGACTTCAAGTCGTACTACAGAGTCACAGTAATCAAACACCGTTCTGCTGACACGAAATCAGACACATAGATACCAGTGGAATAGAAGACCCAGAGAGAAAATAACTCCACACAATCACATTCCTCCCATTCTTAATAAAGGTGTCAAAACATGGATTAGAGATATGGCTGCCTCTTTAATAAGTGATGCTGGGGAAGCTGATAGCTACCTAAGGAAGACTGGAACTAGATTCCTTTTTTGCACTGTGCACAAAAGTCAGTTCCAAAATGAGTCTAAAGACCTTGGTGTAAGATCTGAGACTTTGGAACTGCTAGAGAAAAGTACAGTGGGAACATGTGCAGAGCAAGATAGGACTAATGGCTTCGCATCACACTAAAGAGCCGTGCAGCAGAGAACAGAGTAAAGAACAGGCTGGGCAGTGGTGGCGCATGCCTTTAGTCCCAGCACTTGGGAGGCAGAGGCAGGCGGATTTCTGAGTTTGAGAATTCGAGGCTAGCCTGGTCTACAGAGTGAGTTCCAGGACAGCCAGGGCTACACAGAGAAACCCTGTCTTGAAAAACCAAAAGAAAAAAAAAAAGAGTGAAGAACAGAATAGGTGAAGATCTTTGCCAGCTGCTCATCCAATATGGGATTAGTATCCACATTAAATAAAGAATGAATAGCAAAAGGCAGGTGATCTAGTTACTAAAGGACACTTGTGAAGAAGTACACATAGCCAGTACTTTCCCAAAATGAATGTATACCATCTTCAGCTGTCAAGGAAATGTAAATGACTACATTAAGCTTTTACCTCAGCTGGGCAATGGTGGCACTTGTCATTATCCCAACTCTTGGGAGGTAGAGGCAGGTGGATCCCTGAGTTGGAGGCCAACCTGGACTACAGAGTGAGCTCTGGAATGGTCAGGACTGCATAGAGAAACCTTGTCTGGGGATGAGGAGAGGGCTTGGGGGACAGCAGTTGACCCAGTCTGTGCTGCCCCACATTTGGGGGCCAGGTGTGCCGGTCTGCAGGTCAGTCAACAGGGTCTGCAAGGGAGAGAGTGGAAATGGAGGGGCAAGAGACACAAAGAATGGAGACAAGACAGAGAGTCTGATCAAGTCCCGTTTATTGAAAGGAAATCATGGGTATATATAAGCAGAAGCAGAGGAATGCAGCTGAAGACACTTTACCATGTGTGCCAGCTGTGCACTAAAAAACAAAACAAGATATGTGAGAAAAACAAGATGTTTATCAGAGTGTACTCAACTGTTGTAGGCTGCTTGCAAAACAAGTCTCTTGTCAGGGTATATGGTCTGAGATGACTGTGAAGATGATAGCCGCTTTCTGCTAGGACTGTGGCTCCCAACAGCAGTGGGGGGGGGGGAGGAGGATTCCTTCACACTAGTCAGAATAGCTGTTGCAAAGGAAAAGAAACAACAAATACTTAAGAGGATTCAGAAAAAAAGGGAATCCTGACATACTGCTGGTAGAAATTTAAATTACTCTGGCCAATACCGAGATCAATGTGGACATTCCTGGGGTGGGAGAGTAGGGTTCAAAGTAACCCTACACATCTGGGCACCCACCTGCAACCCAGTAGTGGGCAGGTGAGGACAGGAGAATCAGAGTTCAGGCTTGTCCTTAGCTACATAAGGCCTGAGTTTGAGGCAAGCTTGGATTGTCTAAGACCCTATCTCAAAAAAAAAAAAAAAAAAAAAACTTAAAAAATTGAAAATTTTATGAAAACTCTTATGATCTAGCATATTGCTTCTGGTATGAATTCCCCCCCCCCCCAAAGAAAAGACTCCAAGGCAGCTTAGCACAGAGATGTATGTGGTACCCTTTCATCACAGCCTTCAGAAGAGCAGAGTTAGAACCAGCCTAGGTAGATGCCCATCAGCAATTGGATTTGCAGGGTTCCTTTGTGTAGCCTTGGCTGTGCTGGGATGCACTCTATAGACCAGGCAGGACTGAATTCACAGACATCCTCCTGTTGCTGCCTTGGGACTAAAGGCACAAGTCACCACCACGCTGGCAGCAAATGAATTTTTATTCAGATGTCAAGAAGAACAAATTACATTTACAGAAAGGTGGGAGGAGCTGGAGATTATTATGTTAAATAAAGTCATCTAGCCTCCTAAGGAAAATGCCAAATGTTTTCTCTCATGTGATGTCTGGTAGGGGAGGGGTGGGTGAAAGGAACAGAGGTAGGAGGAGGATACAGAATGAGAAAAGGCAGGGAGAAGGGGTGAGAGCAGACAGTACAGGGGACAGATATGCCCAAAGTACACTGATGGGAATGTCATAACCAAACCTATTTCACTGTGTGAGTGTGTGTGAGTGTGTTTGTGTGTGTCTGTGCGCACTCTCCGGGAGGTGTGGAAGGCGGGCAGGGGATTGCTGCAGTCTCCCTTGACCCATGGAGTCTTTTGCTTACAGCAATTTAGACACATGACTTATTTCTTCAACTTTTTGGCTTTATATTAAAATCATGTATAGTTTGACATATTAATATCCATAATTACTATAATCTGTCGGATTGTGTGTAGCAGCCATAGTACGTTTATTCATTTCTGTCCTGCCAGTCAACATTTATGTAACATACAGATGACTACTTGAAAATGTCAAGACTGTCCATGCTTGCCCCAGACTCATGATGTAGCTAAGGCCAACCCTCAACTCCTGATATTCCTCTGCCATTCAAGTGTTAGGTGGACAGCAACATACCTGTGAATATTTTTCATTTTTTTTCCAGGAACTTCCACGTTGGTTTCTGTATTGGCTGTGTTAATTTACATTCCCACCAACAGTATAAGGCTCACCAACATTTGTTGTGACATAGACTTGCTTTCATTTTGAATGGGTAGAGGGGTTTCCCGTCATTACTTTATAGCTCTCTAGACACTAGGGTCATCTTTACACAACCTAATTGTTAACTTACCTATCACAAACAGTTACAATACTCTGCCATAAGCCTGTGTAGGTAAATCTATAGTCACTTTCCCTCCCTGTTCATTCAGTCCCTAAATGAAAAAAAAATGTGTGACTGAGCTGGCTATATTTTAGCTTTAGGATTAATAAGGTGTGTTAATTGTACGTATGAGTAGTTATATAAATATTTATGCACTGCTCTTTAGTAGGATAAACATCTCTAGCCCTCTGCTTAGATAATCAGGACTTGCAGTAAAACATCTCTTGGAGATTCCGTGGCCATGTCAGATCTTGGTGCATATCCCTGCTTGGTTGAGTTAGTCAGTCTTAGAGCCTTCAGTAGAATAATGTGTGGATGGAGAACTCTGAGAAACTGTGATGAATCCTGAAGACTGTAGATAACTCATGGGTATGTGTAATGTTTCTAATGAAGGTGAAAGATGAGCTCATCAGGCATAGTAACTGCTCCTAAAGTGTGATGGTACTGCCTCTAAATCACCTACATCTGAATGGGCCCTCACCTTGTTTTTAAAGCACCCACTTTGACTAGCTCAAATAGAGGTTAGAACTCTTTTTCATGATTGCATATGATTAATTTGTGGGGAATAGTGTAGGACAGGACAGAAAAGAAATGTGTATTAGTATTAGGATTTTTTTTTTAAAAAAAGCCTAGATGATTTCTCTCTCTCTCTCTGTCTGTCTCTCTCTTACACACACACACATACACACACACACATGCACACACACACACGCACAAAGACAAGTGTATATTCTTATTTGCTTAAATATATGTGGGTTTCTGTGTGTATATAGTTGCTAATAGTCATTGTGCTTTAAACATTTTTTTGAGTTATAAGGACCAAAGGTTCACTTTCTCTTTTTAAATATTTCTTATTTAATCTTTCTTATTTAAATATTGCTTATTATATAAAGTAATTTAAGATAGGTATTTGTCTGTGGTTAGAACATCAGAGGAATACTAGACATGCAAGTATTTCTGTTTTTTTATAGGAGGTAACTCCTACATGACAGTAGATAGCTGAGAACGTTTGACTAATTCTTAAGCTTCAGTTTTCATTGAACAGTCTGAGTTTGATTAGAAGAGGCTCCCATCACATAAGGAGGAAAACATCTTCATTTAAAGACTGAATTGCTTTTTAAAATTTTTGCCTATTGGTGGGCATTCCCCCAATATTCCTGGGTGTTCCAAGTTGTCTTGAATCTTGCTTATGCTCAAAAGAAAACTAATGAGCACTGAAGAGTTACATCCATAGGGTATCCAGTGCCTCAGAGGAGTGCTGTACATTTCCATTTTGGAAACAAGGTATTTTTCATTAGCCTGCAGTAAACCTAATCAAGCACCATGGTAAGTCTTTGGTTGAAATGCATTGCAAATGAAGGTGGATTGTGATTACTAGTTTTACCTGCTGTTTCATCAGTCTACTGAAAAGAAGATGAAAGATTTAGAGTCACACTGAGCATTCTGTCAGTGTTTTGTTTGCTTGTGAGCTACATTGAAGATAGAATCAAGACTAAAAATAAGCTTTCAGTTAAGTATTACTGTAAAGTATATCCTTTGTCCTTAATTACTTGGGTATTCAGACCCAGAAATGGAAGAACAATGCTTAATTTTATAGTTTAATGACAACTCTTAGTTCTCTGAGAATTTGCCACATCTAGTAAAAGTTCTAAAAGTGTATTTCTAAAAGAAGAATAAATGTTATCTTTTTTCAAACTAGTGTTCAGAATCAGGTGGATGAAGTTATTGATGTAATGCAAGAGAATATTACAAAGGTAATTGAAAGAGGAGAGAGGCTAGATGAACTACAGGACAAATCAGGTACAGCCACTTGCTTGTTTCTTGATGTTGTGAGTGTGTGTAGCTAATGCATGCCTTCATTGTTTAGGAATCCTGGCTTCTGAGATTAACATTCAGTTCTTAAGCTTGATTTCCTTGGCTTAGTCTCTGCCATTAATGTGAATGGTCCTACTCTACTGTTTACTTCTTACTCTTAAGGAATGGAGAATTTACAACAACGTTGCTGAAAAGTTAAATCCTCTCTTTTCTCTTGCCCTATCATATTGATAAGCTTTGTTTCTTAGGATATCAAGATGTTAAAATCTAATCCATTTTTTAGTATTCCTTTCAAATTTGCCTGCTATTTTTATTTTGTCTTCTCTGGTACTTAGGTAGTCTTTATTTTCCAAAAGATATTAGTCTCTATGTCCATGATTCCTAGCACATATTTGGACCTCAAGTGTTGTTTGAATGATGACGCTTTCCCTGGAAACTTAGCAACTTTTGTTTACAGGCAGATGTTGGTCCTTGAGTCTGTAATGGTTCTTGGCACATTAGAATGGTTCTGGCATGCCAGGTTCATTCTTGATAGATTGGCTTGATTTTTTTTTCACTCAAAATCAGTTATCTTTGTTTTCTAAAAGTTAAATTCTTTCCGTGGGCAAATTTTTTCTAGAGATGTGCCAAAGTATTTATTTTGTTTCTGGTGCTGGGATCCAATGTGTACCATCAGGGATCTGCCCATGGGCAGCAACCCCAGCCCCTAATTTTAAAAACTTTGATAATTTGTGTGCATGTGTTTGTATGGGAGCACACGTACATGTGTACATGTGGGGCTCAGGACTTGACGCTCTCCTTCCATCTGCCTCCACGTGACTATCCTTATTTTTAAACTCTATTTTCTTACCAGGATTAAGTTTGTGTATAAGCATTGAGACCCTAAGAAGGGTTCTTGAAATCTTGAGTGGGTGTCAGGGTGGGGTGGGATCGGTTGGACAAACTGACCTTCCACTGTGTTTTCCTTTGTTTTGTTTTGTTTTTTTTTTAATGTAGACTAACAGACTTTGTGAGAACAAATTTTAAGAAGTAGAAATTAATGTTTATCTTTGTATGAGTATATAAAAGAATTCTGCTATGTCATTTATTCCTTCTCTCCACCCTCTGTGTGATATAGAAAGCTTATCGGATAATGCAACTGCTTTCAGCAACAGATCCAAACAGCTTCGAAGGCAAATGTGGTGGCGTGGATGCAAAGTAAGTAAATGAGGGGTGGAGGGAGGGGCAGAGAAAGGTGAGAAGAGAGGAGGCAGCTAGTCTCTGAGCTTGAGGACAAACACTGTAAGTGCCTTGCTTAAAGAGTTCTTCTGCCTGGGAAATCTAAAGGAACAGAGTGGAAGGCTGTGCTCAGCTCTCTCCATGAAAGTGCACACATTGCCATCAAGTCAGCATCTGGACACATCTGGGCAAGCATGGTGACAAACACGCTTCCCTTCTTAGACCCACTTCCACTTCTTCCTAGCACTTGGAGAACAGTTCACTGTGTACAGAATGGGTTTGGATTTTGTCTTTTGTTTTCTTAATAGAATGAAAACTAGAGAAAAGTGTGATTTTTTTTTTCGTAGTGGGAAAAACAGTAGCAGTTTCTATGCCAGAGACTCTCCTAACAAAAGATTAAGGAAAAAATCCCATTTTATTCCTTCATTATTAAATTTTAATAAGGACAAATGGAGTCACTGCATACTAATATTTCTGCAGAAATGAAGTTTTCTCTTAAATCAAACATGAACGATCATGAAAAATATTTTTTTAAGATTTTATACAAACAGTTGTTATGAGAGTATTTCCTTTTTCCTCTTGAATCTAGGTGTGTTTTTATTTTGCCAAAATCCTTAAACATGGACTTACTTTTTTTCAACCCCTCATTTTAGGGTTCAGCAGTAACTTTCTAAAGCCTACTTTGCTATATGTTAAGGATTTCTTCAAAGAGATGTCTTGGATTTACTGAGTTTTGTTTAATTACCTGTTAAATATTCTGTTCCCAGAAATAGAAGAAAGATGAGTTTCATTGTTCCCTTCATAAGGAACTTATTTCCATTTATTTTTGTTTGCTTCAGAGAATAAATTTTGTATTTTCTTTAATTTCTTCTTCTTTACCTCTTCCTCTAATGTTTTAAAGAGATTTAAAAATACATAGGATTGTTTTTTAAAGAGGCTAGGACTCAGTTTAACTTTGTGGACCACTGATAGCATCAAGCGTCTAATACACAACATTGTTGTGTAAGTAGCAAATACCTCTTACTGATCCCTTTCTAAGAGCTCTGTTTCTTCAGTCTCTTCCTACACTGTTAGTCCCACATTGCATCCCTGTTCATCTGGAGGTTCCCATGCCCCCGCTTTTTGGGTTGAGTTTCATCGTAATGAAAGGCTATTAGGAAGGCTGTTTAAAAAGGAGGTGGTAAAAGACATGAGAGGCTGCCACTGGCTGAAAGGGTGTAGAGTGGTAATAGGCTACAGTTGATGATGAAGGAGCTTTGAGCAGCCATGGAAATGGGGTTGGTTATGACAGTTTTAGGTAGATGGTTCTTACCCCAAATTGGAAACGCAAGGAAGAAAAATCTATTCAATACAGGTTCTTTACAATTTTGTTGATATTTCCATTTAAATTTTGTAAACTTAAGCCTAGTTAATTTTATATTAATAGGACAAATTAATACATGTTTTAGCAAAGCTTCTCTTAAATTCCATATTATTTAGAAAATATTTTTAGGTTAAATAAGGAATTGCAGTACTTTTTAGTACAGGTTCAAGACTATTTTTATATTTTTAAGTTATCATAATTAAAGACCTGGGTTTTTATGTCCAAATTGCAAAGCTTTTTATATATTCCTTAGGTGACTTTGTTGGTATCATGGCTGCAATGTCATGAAGTGTTAGCAGCCATTCTACGTTTAAAACATTTAATTCCTGTTTCTATTTATGATTGTCACTAGAATGAATCAGCCCTTTATAATATTGAATATACTGATTTTTTTTAATTTTTGAAATGAATCTTGTAAATAAAAAAAATCACACACCAAAATTAACCAATATATCTTGATGATGACCTTCTGTCTAGTTAGAACAGCCACTCTGATGCTGGGGAGGCTTACACTGGACTTTACACTTTCATGATCTAGTGTATTTTTATGTATTGATCCACTAGCAATAGTGATTTTTTTAAAGACTGGCTGGCCTGAACCCACAGAGATTTCCAGTGAGTTCTCTGCCTCCCTAGTGTTGGGATTAAAGGCATGATCATTCATGCCTGGCAGTCAGCCATTTTTAGTTATGTAAGATGAAAGTGTTTGATGAAACCAAAGCTTGTGATTCATCAAGGCAATAAAATTAGTTTATATAATTATGAATTTAAAAGGTGATGGAATCATGATTGTGACAAGTCCATGTAGAAAGATAGCATGAGCTTAAAATGTCAGGCAGCTGACTAAAGCATGATCTCAAGGCTTCTCTTTCTCACTTGAAACTGTACAATACTCTCAAATTACATTATTCATAAATAAAATGTAGTTCTAAAAATGGAGATTAAAACATTGTGAAGGAAGTAAGGTGAGAAAACAACTCTTGGGTACTCTGGGAAAGCTGCCATGCTGCCTCCTGCCATGTTGATAGCAGTCCCTGGCCCATGGTGGTTTCCCATGTTGTCCATGTTGTTGCTTCTCCACAATGAGCTGCGGTTAGGGAAACCAACTGTTTATCGTGGCTCTTGGAAGACAAACACCAAATTCACTTTGCCTTGCCATACACGTGTTCCATTTTGCTGTTGGTTATTACTCCCTTCTTTATAATTTATCAATATATTATCATAGGTTGCCTTTATAGGGATAACTCCATGTAGAGGATTTGGTGTGATCCATGGGTTCAGGCATTCATGGGGCGAGAGCACATTTATAAGGAACATAACTCTGTAGATAAGATAGGACATAAATAATACATGGACTAGCGCCTGTGGTTTATCATCCAGTCCTGACAGAGTTGCAGAAAGTACAGTTTTGTGTCTCACATTAGAAATAGGCCCAGCCCTGGGAAGGCTTCAATTGTGGCTGCTTACTGCATAGTACAGCCTCAGATAATAATATCCAACACAACAATTTTGGCTAGTTACACAAGAGTACAGAACAGCCATCATGTTCTTGTGAGAAATAGCAAATTGGACATGCTTCAGTGAATGTGCCTGTTTATTAATGAGGTAGTATAGAATAGTAAATAGCAGAACAGATAGTCTTGTATTTATTAACAAGTCAAATCTTTCATTTGCCTTTTTGTGTGTTCTAGATAAAAGCCATCATGGCTTTGGCTGCAGCTATCCTTTTGCTAATGATTATCAGTAAGTATTTATTGGATCACTGTTTCTTGGGTTATTGTGTTTTATAAGGCTTAGGGTTTTTTTTTTTTTCTTTCAGAGACAGTCTCACTATGTAGCCCAGGCTGTCTTAAATGCCACTGTGTAGCTGAGGTTGGCCTCTGGCTAGGGTATTATGTTAAAATCAGTTTAATTTTAGTTAGCCTAATGTATGAAATGTCAACATTGAATAATGATATGACTTAAATAAGGAGCCAACCTTTACCTAGAATCTCTGAATAATGCTTTTAAAATGTATAACCTTTGTGATTATCCATGTGTACATTTCTGTGGGGAGTCTATATCTTTTGTTAGATTCTCAAAAGATACTCCTCTCCTTCCCCTCAGCCACACCCCAGACACAGCATAGGACTCAGCTGGTTTTGTGGTTTCTTTTCTTTTCTTTCTTTTTTTTTTTTTTAGGCTAAATCTGGTAAGTGTTATACTTAGGACCAAAATATAATTTTCTGTTTATTGTTGTATTTGAGAGAAAAACCCAGTTAATTTCTCCAGATGATTTTATATGTGTGCATTTAGATTTGAACTTAATTTTAGTTCTGAAAGTATAACTCATTCTTTGGTTTTTCTTTAGTATTCTTTTCAAAGTCAGATCATTTTTTGTAAGGACCTTTCTTCAAGGTCTCTTATGTTTACAGAGGTTTTATGAAGAACTAGAAAGGGCCTCAAAAAAATTGAAAATTTTTATAAGACTTTTTTTTAACTTAAAAAGAATTTTATAAAGAAATACAATCTAGTCTCATTACCTAGGCTGTTGTGTGGATTTGTTTTCTAGGTGAAGTGTATTTGTAACCCTTGCGTTAATGCTCATGTTACTTCCATAGTCATGTGCAGATGCGTTCAGAGCAAGAAGAATTTTGACTCCCTTGACCCACAGGTTTCTAGTTGGGGTCAAATGGAGATCTGCCTTTTTATTTCAGCTTTCATTACATAACCAATGTCTTTTTCATAGACTGCATGGTCCACACATATGTTGACTTTATGGTTTGAAATGGACCTCAAGGATAGTTTAGAAATGCTGTCCCCATTACTAAGTATCATCTGGCTGTGATACACCTTAGCAGAAAGTATATAGGCTAGGTTCTGTGTTCAAGGATGAGATATAGTGCTACTGGCCTTGACTTCATAGTGATTTTTTAATTAATGATATCTATTAAACATGATGTCTTTTAACAGAAACACTTAGAACAAGATTATGTATTAATTAAGTGTAGTAAGACTCATGGAAACTTAACCCTGTATTTTTCCTAGAAGTAGTGGTTCAATATTCACCAGCTCAGTGTTGATGATAACTTTGTAGAACAGATAACAAGGTGGATAGCATGCAATATACAGACTAACATAAAAAGGACCATAAGGTCCACTGGACTCTCACTATGGCGCTAGCTGCTCTCAATATAATTATTATACTAATATAACTAGATTAATAAAAGTGTATGCTACTAGTCTTTTCCTATTGTTATGTAAGTATGATTTTCAAAAGCTAAGATCATATCAGTTATTTCTAATAAATATTATATGCATTATTTTCCTATATCATTAAATATGGTAATAATATTTTAGAAGCTATGGGCTACTACTTTGTCATGGTTTATTTGCTCAAAAGGTCAGTGTTAGACACCCAGGTTGTTTATGATATCTTTACATTCTTCTTATTTCATAGTTGTTACTTTAAATCAGAGTCTGGCCCTCATTTTTCCTTTAGTGACCAAAACCTACACTTAGGGTTGTGCTTCTAACTTAGCTGTGATATGGTTCTAATTTTGATGCATTCTTTTTTCTTTTTTCTTTTCTTTTCTATATTCTTTTTTTGTTTTACTTTTTTCTCTTACAGTTCTTATAGTTGTGAAATTCCGTACTTGATTTGATGACAGACATCCTCATTAAACAAGATCTGGGACAATAATATTTAAAGATTGCTGCATAATTTAAATGAAACCTATGTATATAACTTTCAAATTTTCTTTTTCAAGAAGCTAAAAGGCAAGTACCAATTCAAATTGGAGCATTGAGAATATCTAATTATCATCTTTCCAACTATCAAAGTGTGTTTTAAATGATTATATTTGATGCAAAAATAACTCTATTTTGCTTTATTCCAAGGATCTAATTTGAAACTAGATACTTGCCAGTTTGTTATTTGTATATATAGTTAAATACTGATGACAATACCCCATACTTGTGTTTTAGTGGCATTAGAACATTAATACATCAAAGTGAGAGTCAGTCTGTGATCAGGAAGCCTGGGTAGAGTCCTGACTCTCTGTTAAAGAGATGCATAACCATCCTGTCAGTATTTGCAAGAATGTCATTCTTTTCACATTACAGTTGCTTTGCAGGCAATTTCCATATTTATGGATTAACAAAAGCTAAGCATTGTAAATGTTTCTGCCTTCAGCTCTACCTGAAAACATTCCAGTAAATCTATTCTGACTGTATAAGAAAATACGTGGCAATTTTTTGGTATTTGGATTTTGAAAATGGGAAATTTAAACAGTGTGAAAATCATAATATGGTACCATAAATTTGGAGATAATAAAATTATTGGAGATTGTCATTGGAGTGTTTGAAAACGAGCAATATGTAGCTCTCAGTCTTGGTCCAGTTGGTTGTCAGCTAAACTGCAATAAAAAGGGACTGATTCTGATGCGAGTCAGTGGAATCTGCAGGTAACTTTTTTCTTGACTTAATTTTTGTTAGTGATTTTTCCCTCCTCAATTTTAACTAACTCTGTGCCAGAAGTGCTGAAGTTAGCATAGTCATGTGCTTCTAATGTATTCTAGTGTTCTCTGACACTCTTGAGGAGATAGATGTTACAGTGTTCAAACAGCCAGTGGCAGTAAGTAGCCAACTGTCAGGAGCATAGGTGACCTCACATAATCAATCAGGAACTGATGCTTAGGGACCACCATTGACCCCAGCCTGCTCTTATAACAAGATATGTTCATTGTAAAGAGTATCACCAGCCTCTTACTATTGTTTAAACAAGTCAAAGTGAAGATGCCTCCTGATGTGCAAGGGGAAAGACAGACCACAGGAACTTGTTCACATGGACATCTCAGGCTAGAAATAGAGTGCATAGGGGTGGCCAGTATTTGGTGGTGGGGGTGGGAGGCAATGGTCTTGTATAACAGATTTTACTTTTCGTGATCATTTTAATTCAAAATGTGTGAAACAATTTGGATTTTTCTTTGTTTAATTCTACAATGGTGAATACTAACAGACAAAATGTTTAGAACAGAAAGAAATTTGAAAAAGTGGAAGCAAGGTTAAGCAATATCCTAGACATTGCAAGGTCTAAATATAATTGCTGGAGTTTACAGTTTGTTGCATACTATGGAGAATCGGCTCTGGTCTTTTCACTCTGCTCATCAGTTCCTGTGCACAGCATCTGAACTGATGATATATCCTTTTGAAAAAGATGGGTCAAGGAGGCTCTCAGTCCCAGCAGCTGGTGGTTGAGGGATGGAGGTGTTCCCTTGAATCAGCAAAGCTAGTCCCAGTGTGACCGTCTTGTAAGCATACTCAAGTCGTTGGCTCCACTGCTTGGTGTGGAGTCTGCTTTCACTCAATGTCCCTTAGTGAACAGGAAGTGGGGGGGGGTCTTAAAAAGACTCCGAATTTCCAATCTTCTTTTAATAAAGTATACCACTTTTAAAGAAACAATTATAAAACATAGAATTATAAAATTAATTTTAAAACATTAAGTATAAAAAATTTATATTATTTAACTACTTATATATGTAGCTGTTTGTATTTAAATGTATCACTTCTGAGGAAGCCCTGTTGGCATGGAACAGAGGATTTTACAGCAGTGATGGCTTCAGTCCCAGTTCATCGCTTTGTCCCTTTTGATCTTATATAATCCTGAGACTTAAAATGACATTAGTGTGAAATACTGGAAATATGGGTGCTTCTACAAGGAGAAGCTGAGAAGAGCCAGGTGTGATAGGTCACACCTGTAATCCCCGCACTATGAACACTGAAGTAGGAAGGTTTTCCTGATTTTGAAGCCATCCTGGGCTTCATGGTGTGTTCTGGACCAGCCTGGGCTATAGAGTAAGAACCTGTCTCAAAAAAAAAAAAAAAAAAGCCAACCAAGCAAACTAATGAGAAGAGAAACAGTTGTCAGATTGATGCCAGGCCTGCCTTCATTCCCTCCTTAATCATTCTTTTTCTCATTCAGCTCAGATCATCCTGCACTTGAAAAAATGAAGTTTTACCACCATCAAAACTATCATTATTTAACAACAGTGAAGATCAACAGAAAATTTCAAGTAGCTTTGCTAATGTTAGTTGATGCCCAGTGAAATCAGGTCACCACTGCCGTGCCTGATGTGTGCCCTTGTGGTTTGTCTGTAACAGAAACCTCTTCCCTTGCAGCAGTTTGTGATGAATGGGTTCCTCCTCCATCATAACCCAGTGTTACTTGTGGTCTTTTGATTCCTAACAAAATTCACTGGGAATTGTCCCAAAATTTTATAAACTGGGAAATTTATTGATTAAGAGAAAGTCCAGTATTGATGATGGAACATTGTTTAAAATGGAGAAAGGTAATACGCATGAGGTACAGAGGTACCTGCGATGGTGTTCCTGTAGACTGTCATTACAGTTTACTCCTGGGTTCTGTCTTAGAAAGTAATGCTGGCATTTTGAGAGCAGAAACCAGCACCTTTCTATTCTGTATAGCATGTGAGTGCCCTGTAAATGCGGACGCACACACAGGGTGAGACTCAGATGTGACAAGAGCCTGACCTCTGTCCTTGTCACTTAACACCTGTTTTGTGTCATGTCAGCACTGTAGCCCAAACAGACTTGTATTTATATCTCAGATATGTTTTATGGCTAGAAAATATGCAAGAAGTTTTTTTAGTGTTGAAAACAACTGTCATGAGATGTTCTTAGTTGTATTGAGTGTTACTAAATTAAGGACTGGACTACTAATCAGATTTTGTGTTCTTACATAGAAATGTTATCAGTCAGTTTTACTTTTCTGTGAGTGATAGTAAGAACATGAGTCAGTCTAAACACTTGGGGGCGGGGGTTGTTTGCCAAATAACAGCATAAAGATAATGGCTCAGAAGAAGCAGGAAGGGGCCATCTTAGTACATGCAAATGCACCCTCCCTTAGACTGACAGAGTCTCAGTCTGTCTTTTGTTTCTTGGTTTTTTTGGTTGGTTGGTTGGTTGGTTGGTTGGTTGGTTGGTTTTGATTTTGATTTTGATTTTGATTTTGGTTTTTTTGAGACATGATCTCACTGTGTGACCCAGACTGGCCTCAGATGCACAGAGAGCCATCAGCCTCCTAAGTGCTGGGATTAGAGGTATGTGCCACCACACCCTGCAGACTTTTTCTTTTTGATCAAAGAATTCCTGGGATCAAGTGATCTTTCCAACTTAGCCTCAGAAGTAGCTAAGACTACATGTGAGTACCAGCATGTGCAGATGGGCCTTCTCTTTAAGCCTGCTGTTAGTCTCACTTGGATATTTATTTTCATATGTCAAGCAGAATAAGGGTGGAACACACTTTTATTCTGTCTTGTTTTATTTTACAAGGCTACTTAGAACAAGTGCAGGGATGAGAAGAAAAGCATTGCTAATCCAGTTGGGATAAGCTTATAAAGCAAGGACCACACCATGTTGTGTCTCTCAGCTCTCACAAGTCCCAGTGTGTGTGGCTGTGCTCCAGAAGTCACACTGTGCTGGTGGTGTCTAAGTGAGGGCTAATTTCCAGTGTGTGCTGAGAGGAAACTTGATTGAAGTAGGCAAACCTATAGATAAAGGGTTCTTAGGATTTAGTATAGAAAAATTCTGGTTTTACAGTGTTGCATTAGGTTCTTTTCACTTGAAAAGATTATAAAATAAAATCACATATTTTAAAGCTGTAAATTGCATATGTCTGAGGATTTAGTAAACTGTCAGAGATCAATCTATAAGAAAATTTAAACATTGATTTTATATCTTAGTTGTATGTCATTATTTGAGATCCTATAATCCCTAATTTAACCATTTCGGCAAGTGCCTTTGACATTTAAGGAGTATTATGGGAGACGAGCAAATGCAGGTGCCACACCCCATTTCCTGGCTTCTCAATTCCTCATGACAGTATATGTTTTACAGTGCTACAAAGTTCAGTCCTTTGTGTTCATATGATATTGTATTGTAGCCTTTCCATAGTAAACAGCAAAATAAACTTTTTTGCAGAAAATGAAAAGTAAGCACTGTGGCTTGTTCAGTGTGTTACCTATTGACCTAACTTCAAAGCAAAGCACCTATACAAGCACCCGATTTCATCGCTCCCTGTTTCCAGTAAGGTACATGGAGGAAAGTAGAACCTTTCTAGAAAGAATTTCTCAATGTACAACACCGTGTCAGCTGCAGAGAAGTGATTGGGATACTCTTGCTTATCCTCAATGGTATCCATTTCAAAGAAAAGAGGACAAAGTCCACTTAATTTTAATACTTCAGTCCTAGTCAGAGCTGGGCATGGTGGTATATATGCTCATAATCCCAGCGCTCAGGAAGTGGAGACACTATCAGGAAGTAGTTCAAGGACTGCATAGCTCGAGGTCTGCCTGGGCTACAAGATCACACACACACACACACAGACACAAACACACACACATAATGTTCCAAACAAGAATACCTGGCACCTGTCCCTCAGTTATGTGGTGCTGTTCTTTACAAGCAGTCTGAATGGTGACCATTGTTTCCAGTCTCCCTCCAGACCCTAAATGTCTTCTCTTTACTATTCCAAAGAGGAATAAAGTGCTGTGGTCAGGAATAGAGATAGGAAACACTCACTGTAAGTACATTCTAACAATGACACTACGTAATACAATCTAATATTTCACCTATGGGAGAGCCAGTGCAGAAGGCCAGGTCTTCTGTAAATCTAACAGTCACACTTAGACATGCCCTTTGATGCTAAGCGCTGCTGGGCAGCATTCACTCTACTTTCCTGCTGTAGATCCTCAAAGGAAGGTAGCACCCTTAGGCAGTTGTGTGAGTGGACCAGGTCTCACTGAAGCACGTGTATGACGAGATGCACATGACGCCTATGAGTAACACTGATCTTGGGAGGAAGGGTGTGCTAGACTGATGCTTGTAACACAGAGGCTTGCTATTCACTTCATTTAAAAACTGGGGCCAGAGAATTTGTTCATTGGGTAAGAGTGCTTGCCCTACAAGTGTGAGGACCTGAATTCACATCCCCAGGACACATGAAAAACAGGCACGGCCACATGTAACTATAATCCCTGCATTGTGGAGCAAAGGCACATGGGTCTAAAAGCTCACTAGCCAGCCACTCCAAACAAAAAGATCATCTTCAAGTGTATTGAGAGATCCTGTCTCAAAACAATAAGGTAAAGCCAGAGAAAGATACCTGAGGTCTTGCTCTGACCACTGTGTACACATGCTGCCACACACTGACATCCAGGCACCACACAAATACATAACCCCGTCATCTTTGTAACCTTCTTGTCACTTTCTACCCAAAACTTTGCTCTGTGTGGAGCTTTTTGTTTATTCTGTTAAAGTACTTAAGTTTTATGTACATACCAACCTAATCTTAGTTTCGTGAAGGTCACCAATGACCTCTGTGCTGAGAAATTCAGAGGTCCCTATTCCACCTTTATGTTTGCATATCAGCATGTAATAAATGCAGTTTGTGACTCCATTTCTGAAAGTCCTTTTAATTATACTGGTTGGTACTCATCTCCCCAACTCTTGGTTTTTTGTTTTGTTTTGTTTTGTTTTTTGGTTTTTTTTTGTTTTGTTTTGTTTGTTTTTTTGGTTTTTCAAGACAGGGTTTCTCTGTGTAGCCCTGGCTGCCCTGGAATTCACTTTGTAGACCAGGCTGGCCTCGAACTCAGAAATCCGCCTGCCTCTGCCTCCCAAGTGCTGGGATTAAAGGCATGCAACACCACTGCCCAGCTCCCCAGCTCTTAACATTGTAATAATACTGGATCGAACTCTTGCTCCTCTCTGAACACATCCCTTAGTAGTCTTACCTAATATTATGAAACATCTTTGTTCTGACATATCGCAAGTTCATGTCTCCTCCTCTTGAAGTTGGACTCATGGAGTAGTCCATTTGGCATCTTTCCTTCTTGCATATTTCCTTGCACATGCCCAAAGTGCAATTCTGATGCCGAGTGTGCTAGCACATGCCCATAATCTCAAGGCTGCCTTCAGTGTGTCATCAAGTCTCTGCACCTCTCCATTCTTCTAATTCATCTAACATTTTATAGACGCTAATTATTTATGCTTGTTACCTTTCTTCCCCTCACTCCAAATGTTACCTTCATAAAAAAAGATTTTTGTCTCTTGTTCACTAATATCTCCCAAATCATTTGCTGTAACAGTAGTAATAGCTGGACTGAATGGCTCCATTATCCTGAAGATACAAAGGAAGGCCATAATTTTGAAAATGATGTACTACAGGAGCCTAATTGACTTTTAGGGTATGTCAGTAATAGGATGAAAGATGTGGTCTCCGTGATTCAGAAAGTCATAGAGAAAGACAGAGGTAAAAATATAATTAAATACATGATGAAGGCAACTCATGTCAGCTACAAGAGAAATAAAATAACTTGGTAGAGGGTACTGGAGAGGTGTCTTAGTAAGAGGACCTACCCTGTAATCATGAGGATCTAAGTTCAAATCCCCAGTATCCATGTAAAAAAGCCAGGAAACATGAGTACTTACAAACCAGCATTGCAATGACAAGTGGACCTCCACATCTCACTGGTCAGTCAGCCTAGCCTAAATGTCTGAAGGAAATAACTCGGAGAGCAAAAAACAAAAACATCCAATGTACACACACTAAGTACATGAATGCCAGACAATGCACTAATAGTCATTTGTTAGAAAGCAAACTGCAACATGCACATTAAGCCCTTCACGAAAGCAGCTGGGGATAGAATTGCTTGAAAAAGGTCGGTGGTATGAGAGAGGGGTTCTAGAAGCTACCACAAACACCAAAACTAAATGGAAAGGGTGCTAGTTGAATCTTTAAAATTACTGATAATAATATAGTGTTCTAAAACTAGCAGAATAGAACAGAGCTTCATGTTTTCCTTTGAGTGAAGCTTCAATTTTGAGAAAAACCATCCGAAATAAAAAGATTTTTTCAAATACATGTAGCTCAGTGGAAGAGTACTTATTGGCCACTTGTGAGGTCCTGAGTCTCAGCATCAAAGAGAAAATCGCATAAGCACTGAGGGTACCTACAAGAGTACAGATATAAAACTTGAAATCTTAGCTGTCTCTAGACAACACGTAACTAGGCTATCATCTATAGAGCTTTCAGAAGAACCGACTATGGAACTTAATAAACATACCCTGACTACCAAAAGGAAAGTTCAAAAATATGAAATATTTTTTCTTTGTCCTTGGAAAAATAACTTGAAAACTGGTAGCTACAGGAAAAGGGAGATAACAACTGAGAGTTAAAATCATTTTATTCTGTAGAAAATCCTTTGATGGATTCTTATTGTACATATTGTAAAACTAGGCTGTCTTGTTTCCCTCAGCTGTTGTCAGCTCTCTTGTTAGCTTTCACCTCACCCATTATACACCTTAATGATGGAACAGGCAGGGCTCAAAGAATGACAAGAATCAGATCTAGGGACATCTGCATAGAATGCCCTGAGAATTTTGACTTCTTGTGTTCTCAGAACCCCAGAGTCTGCACAAGTGGCTGAACTCCCTCTTACTGAACAAGAAAGTCCCACTTTCCACCTGCCTCTGGCTTATTAAAAAGCCCCACAGAAGCCTCAAACAAGGCAAATGCCTTCCAAGATACCACTGGGAATCAAAGTCAAGAGATTGAACAATGTTCCTGGCACTTGGATGTGTGATACATGCCAGGTGAAGCTGAAACCTAAAATGGAGGCAAACACCAGATCCCTCAAGCTGCACCACTTACATGGGCTGATGAGCTGCCCGTATAAATTGCAAATTCTCCCAGTGCCTATTTCTGTTGTTGGTAGACATGAGGAACAGATAGTCACTGTCTCCTGATGGAGAAGTGTCATTACATCACAGATTTATTTTTTTATTCTGTCCTTTGTTTTTGTGGTGCTAAGGCTTGAACCCAGGACCTTATACATTCTAAAAATGGTACCACTACTATATCCCTAGCTCTGAGAAAGATCACAAGTTCAAATGATCAGGTCATGGACCTTTTCACCTTGCTCCTGCATTCCTGTTAGCAAAGCTGGCTACAGCATTTCAAGCACCCAGTGTGAAATTAAAATGTGGAGGACTTTGCTCAAGGAGCAAGGAGAGAGGGACCTTAAGATACTAATATATAAACATTTTCTTGTCAGTTATAAATTATACCAGGCTCACCAGTAATAATCCCTAGGGAAACATAAAACCACAATCAACTATGAGTATGAAAGCAACAACACATGTTAGTGAGACATTGAAGAATTAAGCCTTTGTACCCTGCTAATAGGAATGCAAATTGATAATAGCATTTATGAAAAATAGAACACTAAGTCAATTCTCATAAAATTAAAAATAGAATTACCATATGATCCAATTGTGTAGCTACTTCTCCTGAATTAAAATTCTCCCTGGAGCTGTAGAGATAGCCCAGTGCTTAAGAGCACTTGTTGCTCTTCCAGAGGACCCAGGTTCAATTCCCAGCACCCATATAGTGGCTCACAACCATCTGTAACTCCAGATCTGTTGCCATATTCTGGCCTCTGTGGGCACCAGGCATGCACATGGTACACATACACACATGGAAGCAAGACACTCATACATATAAAGCTAAAATGTCCCCTCTGGGAGGAAGCAGGGAGGCTCAGGACCAAGGAAGCCCCTGAAACAAAAGAGGCTCAGGAATATTATAAGGTTCATAGGCCCCTGCCCTATGAGGTTATATGACCATGACAATTGCTGCAGAGAGGAGTCAAGAGTGGAGCTGCCTGTAAGCATGGCGGGGAACTCTAACACATAACCACATGATGTAGCTTGAGGACTTTATGTAAAGTGCTATAAGGCAGCTGTAAGAAGGAAAATACACAAGACCTAAGTCCTATGTGGAATCTAGAATACTCAGAGTCAGCAGAAAGCAGCACTGTGGTTCCCAATGACTGGTGGGAGGGTTGGTTCAGATGGCCACAGAATTTCAGTTCTGAAGGATGGGATTTAGGAGAATGGATGGTTGTGAAGGCTGCACAATAAATGGTAGTGCCAC